GTTCATATAAAATTATTTGTTTCGAAAGTATTTTTCTTTCGTGTAATTCAATGTTTATTTGAGAGTAGCTATTTCGAAAAGGCTTTTTCTTTCAGTTTGTGCCTGAAAGTTACTTCTTTGCATGATCTACTCAGATGTGTGTAAAGGTAATTTTTGACTCTGCTTCTTTCTTTTCTTCGCAAGTTTCCGACATTTTTTGTATAAAAATGGAGAAGTAAAAGGCGAAAACTTTTCTTTTTCAAAAGTTTATACCTATTTTTGTCGACATTTTTTTCTTGATCAAACTGATGTTATGTGATGAAATTGATGGATACTTGATGAAAATCCATAATAATATATCAAAGTAACATTTTATGTGTGAGATTTTTACTAAACAGTTCACAAAATCCCAAAACTATATGGCGTGTGTAATATTAACTAAATTCTACTTACTGTAGTGCGTTTCAGTCGGTTGAATTTAGTTAGTACTAAACACGCCTGAAAAAGCTATTGTATAGTGTGTATAGCACGTATGGCGATTTTGTGAATCTCACAATAAAGTGTCACTAAAATACGTGTCAGTAAGACATTGAATGAAAATAACTAACGAAGTCTATCAATCCAAATATTGAAAAACGATGAAGACTATTAACTAAATATTTTATATTTGAACATTTGTTAGCTTCTTCCTTATGCCACGTGTTGTTCTTGAACCCAGTCGATGGTACAGACGAAAAGTCACAGTCACTAGGCAACCTTAATGACAATTAAGCTTAGATAGCTCGTTAAACATAATTTGCAATTCAAATTCAACCATTGTAAGCGATACAGAGGTACATTTTTACGTAGCGTCCTCCATTGAATTTACAACAGACATGGAAGAATGCACAAAATTAGAATAGATAATAATGCGAGTGTCATGCAGGTATGTTCTGTCGATTCTCAATTATCAACTTTTGAAAAACCGGGCATGTCGCAAAACAGAATCTTTCAGCATTTTTGAAATCATCTCTACCATATTTCACTTCACCATTGGGCGATGACAACTTTGCCCTGACCTGAATTACCACTATGAAGGTCGCTTTAGATTCAAGTAATTTTCTTCTTGCAAAATGCAAGTTCGCGTGTACGCAGGCGCGAATGCAAGGAAAGAAACAGCTAATACTATATAGCTTGTTAAAATAATATTTTAATTATTAGATTTACCAGACTATTACAAAAGGGCACATTGTAAAATTAATTTTAGAGTATTAGATAAGGCAATATTGTGAAATTAATTCAAGACACTCAAGAAGCAGGTACCTAGAAGAGGTATCTATGATATAAATAAGGATAACTTTGTAAGTATGATTAGTTTGATCTTCATCTTGAAGATGATCACTTGGTGATCGAAACACGTGTCGAGGTGTTAAAATAACGATTTGGTGTTGGGAAAAGACTCCAGTAATATTCTGCTAATGCGATGCAAGTTAAAGTTTTACTTCTTTTCAGACCTGGTATCAAAAATGTTGTACTTGATTTTCCAAACTATTATATCGCAATACAGAATCTTTCAGCCTTTTTCGAAATCATCATCTCTTTCATATTTTACTCCACCAATAAGCGATAACAACTTTGCCTTGTAATACCCTGACCTAAATTATCATTGTTAAGGTCGCTTTACATTCACGCAATTTTCTTCTTGCAACATGCAATTTCGCGTCTACGTAGGAAAGAGACAGCTAATGCGATGCAATTTGAAGTTAATTTTCTTTTTTTTCAGAACTGATATCAAAAAGATTGTACTTGATTTTCAAACTATTAGATTGTTTCAAAAGTTTTGTCTGTTTAAATGTTGTGTTTTTGTAGCCCCATATCTCAATAAATATATAATGGTATATATTAATGGTATTTAAAAATTCTTAGTATGAAGTGAACGTCTACGATCCAAAAACTACAACAAAAAATATAGGTCCGTATTTGAAAATTCAAAGATGGGGGTGGCCCAAGTTAGATGACCCCCTTATAAAAGATTCATGGACATATTCTGATAGCCCACATCAAGTGACAATAGGAAAATGTGGACAGACTTTCAATATGTCTGCGAATAAAGAAGATATAGGCAAAAAAATAATTTTGGATTTTTTTGTTTTTCCTGTATATCTCCAGAACCAAAAGAGCTATATTCGATTTTTTGACATCATTGAATAGGTCTCTGAAATACGCAACGAATTTGAATAGCCCTGTATATGATTTTTGGTCAATTTTTCGTTACGAATTCAAATTGAACCAAACCGCTGCCAAAATAGCCCGAATAATTAACCAGGTATTTGGCAATGATAGTGTTAATGAACGCACTATTCGACGTTAGTTTGTGAAATTTCGTTCTGGAGATTTCGCCTCGAAGATGAACCCTGACGTGGTCGACCTACAGTAATCCAGGACGAGAAATCTGTTTTTGGTTGTTTATATTGGCTAGAACTGGAACAGTAATCAATTAATCAATGTTAGAGTTTTGGACTTCCATTGTTCATAAAGGTATTAACAGATTTGAAATGTATGACAAACTACCTGACCTGATTAACTTCCTTGTGTTATCAGCTGAATTATATCAACTTTTTTATATTGTGTTTGTGAAGCACGATGTCGGGCCATACTGGTATAGTCGAAGTAAATATTGGGCACATTTAAAGTTGGCGACACCCAATACATAAAAATGAACTGGCATCGAACTAGTCCACGTGGACTGTAGACTTGGCGGTTCGTATTGGATAATTTTTACTAACCGAGTTTTATGAATGGCTAAAGAGTCATAAAATTAAATTTGAAGTCATGTTACGGTGACGAATAGAAATCGGGAATGCAGGGATGGTTATCGCCGACGTGTTCAGTTCAGGAACTGATCGCGTTTGAGTGTTGAAATTCGATATTGATGCAGTTATAATCACTTATAATTTTTGTCATCTGTTTAAAATGTGGCGTCCTAGGACAAGTAATAATAGTAATAACGAGTGTGATAACAACGCAGACTTTTTCCACTGTAGTGATTCCAATAGCGATGGTTAACAATGCGAAAAAGAGATACCGTTGAATAAGATTCGGATGCACTTGAATATTGAAACGCAGAGAGTATGTTTCAATGTATATAAGAATCTACATCTCAAGTTTGGTTTCGATGGAAACAAACTATCACAAGCAACATCAGATTTGACCGAAATTCCTTTCTTTCCAAAACCTTTAGATGTTCATTTAATAAAATCATTGAAAAAAAATATATGACTGTTACAAATGCAAGGAGTTTCCTACAACTGAAATCATAAGGAAAAAATTGAATACTTCCGGCCATAATGTGAGCTGCTGTGACAAAACTCTTCAAAAATGGATAAAGAAACTAGTATTTAGATTTAAAATAATAAACAAACGTCAAGCAGTTACGGAAAGCAGAAGAATAGTGGAATTGCGTAACAAATACTTAGAACAAATAACTAAATATAGACGAAACTTGGTATGACACTCACGACACAGTTACGAAAGGGTGGATTGATGTTGCGAGAATGTGTACGCCTAACATGCCTGCAAACAAAGGATCGCGACTAATCATTGTGCATTGCGGAGGAAGTAAAGGATGGGTTCCGAATTCTTTGAAATTATGTGGAAAAAAGTTGAGGACTGCAATGTTGACGATCATAAGAACATGGAAGTTAATATTTTCGAGGAATGATTTGAAAACACATTGATCCCAAATTTGGATACGAATGGTGTAATAGTTCTTGACAACGATTCCCATCATTCGCGACAGTTCATCAAGGTACCAAATGAAAATTCGAGGAACGATGAAATACAACGTTTTTTAATGGATAACAATTTGTATTTTGACGATTACTATACCAAAAGCCAACTACTTGAA